CCTCGTTGAGGATTACATCTTCTCTATCTGAAAGTCGAACAATGTTAGAGAAGCCAGCACTGGTTAGCAACTGGAGGTTCTTTTCTGTTCTTCTTTGGGGCTTTTGCGCTAGTCTTTGTACTCTACTCCTAATCTTTAATGCATAGCCTTACAGTAAAAAAAAGTTCGAACAATGTTAGCGAAATCCTTGAAATTAATCAGACATAAATTATAATAGGTTAAATTTTGGAAGCAATGTCATAGGGATGTATCAAAAGATTACCCCACCACATTTCAAAGTATTTCTATTTGTGTAAAAATGGTTTCCTTGGGAAAAAAAATCTACTACTGTAAGTTTTATGAAAAAAAAATGAATCCTAGCAAGCTGGAAGTTCGTAATTAAGTTTTTTTTTTGGAGAACTTTTCAGCTAATTCATATAATTCCTTCGGTCCAATAAGGCCTTGTACAATGGGAGGTGCTTAGAGAGATGCTTAGAAAAATAAACCGGGTTTTTCTGAAGCACCGGTGCCTATTTCTACAAGAGAGACGCTTAGTTAAGCGTCTATCCTGTACAAATAAGCACCGGTGCTTAAGGAAAGCCTGGTTTATTTCTCTAAGCACCTCTCCTAAGCACCTTCCATTGCACAAGGCCTAAGTATCCTGGTTTTAGTTAAAATTTAAACTAAAGCTACGACACTTATTATGAATCGGAGGGAGTAACATTTTGATAGTACCTGTGGTAAATAAAGACTCAACTGAGTGTATTTGTTGTAATATATACTTTGACAGAGTATATAAATCCTTGGGGTACCAATCACAACTCCTGCTTGATACACAAACCTGAAACTATAGTTCATATGAATGTATTTTGTTCATAATAGAATGTATTTTGTTCATAATAGAGTATATAATCAGGTTTGTGGTGACCTTGTATTACATCGGTAATATATTTTGTTCACTGAAACTATAGCTGATATGTATGAATGGGGAATAACGTTACCACAAACCTGATTATATGCCTTTTCTTTCAACTATTTTTCCTGGCATAGTAACACTTTTTTTTACATACATGCATATTTGCCAGAAATTTAATATTGCTCTCCCCATGCCTCCTTATGTCACCCAACCAGAGAACTTGGCGTTGCACTGATGTTGCTGGAAAGGTGAGATAAGATAGTAAAAAGATATTCATGATCCATAATATGTTGCCATATTTGTATGAGTAACACCTACTCCCTCCGTTCCTAAATATTTGTCTTTCTAGACATTTTAACAAGTGACTACATGCGAAGCAAAACGATTGAATCTACATTCTAAAATATGTCTATATACATCCGTATGTGTAGTCCATTTAGAATCTCTAAAAAGACAATTATTTAGGAACGAAGGGAGTAGAAAACACAACAAAAATACAACACCACTGCTGTTGTTATTGTTGTTGCTGTTGCGGACATGTTCTGCATGATTCACTCTGTTCTAGTTTGAAGAAAAGTAATTGACATGACAGGGGATAATTCAGAAGTTCAGACTTGAGACAAGGGAAGAAGTGTGTCAGGAATGTACCTTTCTTCCGGTATGGGACGACCTCCAGCAGCACCGAGACCTCGCCAGCGGTTTCAGTGATCTTCGAGAAACTGTCCTAGATGTCCCTCATGGCCTCGGCCACACTGGCTGGTGGCTTTTCGAAGAACACGCTGCTGCTCGATCTCGGCGCTCGCCCGCACCATCAGCTTGTGTTGCTCACGCCCACCACCTTCTTCTCTTCCTTCACTACCATCCGCTCTACGTCTTCCTGCTCATGACCAGGCGCCTCCTCCTCTGATTCGCGTTGTCCATTGCTGCTATCTTCACTAATTTCTTCCAGCTCCAGTATCTCAATCTTCTTGATCAGCATTCACCTCTTCGACGCCGTGATTCACATGGCCCACGCGATCGGTCGGCAGCGAAGAGAAGGGGTCGATCCAAAACATACCCCATGCCGACGGCAGCAGGCGAGGAAACCGGTACGTCGTTCGCCAGAGTATGGAAGAGCCGAGGATCCATGCCAAAGAACCCATCAATCACAGCTATCACGGCAGCTCCAGCCTCGTCGTCCCACTGCTCCACCAGCGATGGAAAGGATCCGCCGCCGGGCAAGTCGCAACCGCAGGTAGGGTTTGTAGAGGGGTTGGGAGGCGAGATCCGAGCGGCCAGGGAGGGGTCGCTGCCCTTGCTGCCCCTTCGTCGTCTTCTTTTTATTAGGGCTCCCTTTGAACCCAGCTGATGGGTCGTGATTACCTGGCCCAATCAACCGGAGGACTCCAAAAAGGCCACCGGAGCAGCTGCCCCTAGGACAGCAAGCCCAGGTTGTGGCTACGGTTAGCCAGCAGCGTTACACACGCATTCAACGGATCAAAATAGCCGGATCGGGACAATGGACGGGCGAAAATCCAAATCGCTGTGAGGGCTTGCTTTAGGTGCGGTTATACTGTCTTTAATGTGGCTGCATATTCATGGAGATTACATCATTACATAGGAGAACTGATAAAAAAAATACAGAGATTGCACAAGAGTGGAATATGCTAACAAACCTTGGCAACTGCTGGCTCCAATTTAGACACATCAAACTGACGGACACCGTAAAATCTGAAAACAGAAAGTCAGTCAAATAAGAGAACAATTTAAATCAAAAGCTTCCGCATATGCCAAAGCACCATTCATAACATGACACAAGGACCAAACGATGACAAATCTAGATGAAAAACACAAAGGCTGGCAGCAGCATTTCGAATTCTAATACGCAAGACATGACAAGATATGGGCAATATTTTGCGAATGTCAGCTAGAGAAGCAGATGTCGAGTCCAAGTATAATTTCTAAATATATGTAGTACTGCAGAGTTCCACCTTCCGATTCAGAAATCAGAATGACACACGTTTAATCGATAAGAATCCAAGTTGACACATTTTTCTACTGTATTTCTTTTCTTTCAGCAGTTCATTTCCTATAATCAATCCAACCAAATCTTATCCAACGAATCATTGGACAATGACATAAGTATAATCCATGTACAATTGGTAGCTATCTAAACTCCTTCCGGAGCAAGTATCTGCCAGGCTTCAGTGCCGCACCACCGGCAGGCCCGTTCTTCACGGCCAGCTCCGCCGCCGCCGACCCCTGGTGCGGCTGCTGGAGCATGGCCTGCTGCCAGTCGGACTCCGCAACGAAGAGGTTGGTGATGTCCCTGAGCGGCACCCGCCTCCGCGCCCTCCCCAGCCGCTTCAGCTTGCAGCTCCTGACGGCTACGCCATGAGGACGGGCGGCGGCCGCCGCCGAAGACGGCAGATTCACCTTGTCGGCGCGGTCAACTGCCATCTCGGAGAAGGCAAGAGCTGCCGCTCTGGGAATCTGGGCACGGTGCTGTGCTACTAGGCGGCGAGCCGGCGAGGTGGCTGGATCGGAGCGGATGGGACTGGGAAGATCTTCCATGGGTACTTGTAGCGGAGGTAGGTAGGAGGGAACGAGAGGGAGGGGGATGAAAAGATTTGAGTTTCGGGGGAAATTTTGGGGTGGAGAGGAGTGGAGGGAGCGGAAGATCTGCGTTTCCTGCCATTTTTTGAAAATTTTCGCGAAACGTTTGGACAAAATCGGGATCCGAGGCGGGGAGGAGCGCGCTGGAAACTTTGGCGCGGGGGTAGGGAAGGGACTCCAGATTCGATTTTTTTTTCTTCCTTCAGTTTGTGAATGGCTATCTTCACACGGGCCAATCCTACAGTTGGGCCAGCCCACGTATGCGATTCGCGTGATGTTTTCCTTACTGTCTCTTGCGTTCATGTTTTCGTTTCTTCCGTGGTTTTTTGCTTCCGGTTTTTCAGTGGTAAAGTAATGGGATTTTTTCCGTTTTTCTGATTTGGTTCCTTTTCCGTTTCACTTTTTCGTTTCATTTTTTTGCGGGGAATTCTTTTTTTCTGTTTCCCTTTTTATTTTTTGTTCTCTTTTTTGTATTACATAAAAAGTTCGCCGCACAATACATTATTAAGAAAATGTTCACCGTATATTATGGAAAAACTCACCATGCACTATAAAAAATTTGTTCACCGTATATTACAAAAAGTTCATTGTATTTAAAAAATGGTCATCTTATATTATAAAAAAAGTTCAGAATGCATTATTTTTTTAACAAAATCAATGATATTGTGTGAATGTACTATTTTGTTTTAAGATTTTCTGAATATTTTAAAATGTGCTACTGGGGTTCGGTGCATCATATATCCCCCCACCCCACCCCACCTCTTTTTTTCTGGATATAAACATGACACTGTTTTCGCTTGTGTGTAGCTCCACCACCTGTGTTAAGCGAAGCTCCCAAAGAGTCAGACTTGAGGCATAGTTGATGAGTGACTATTTCTCCGTTAACTTCCGCTCCTTTCTGTCGACATTTAGAGCTCCCACTCACTCCTTGTACCTCTTGCACCTATACCAGTTTATCAAAAAAATAGGATGAGATTGCTTTCAAACAGAAGTTGCAAGTTGTCGAGCAAAGGAAGGCGAATGGGCGCTGCTGTTTGTCAGGAAAGCCAAGCACGCCCCGGTGCGGTGGCAACAGACTCTCTGCATCGTCAACCTCACCACCGCCTTTGATCTAGCAAGATGGCTTGTTAAAAACGTTCTTATATTATGGGACGGAGCGAGTATATACCAGCAAAATCAATGAAGAGATCAAGATGGTGAAGCACAGGTCCAAGCGTATGAAATGGGTACTCTGATGTGTTCGCCATTCGACATCTACTAAGATACAGTATCATTCTTGAATAGTGTCCTTCCTGTGGAGATGTAATAGTTATGTTTGTTCCTGATAGCACACTCAGTAATGCTGGAAAAGCAAGAATACAACAAAACCTTACTCAGTTACAACTGCTACTCGTTGAGTAACTTATTTCTCAGCAGGAAGCACAGATGACATCTAAACTACAGTTTCAAACACCAACAAAAAGTACAGTACAGGACGGTCCGCAACACAAATTCATTGTTTTCAAGATCTCTAAGACAGGAAGTCCCTAGGGTCCGTGACATATCCCGTCAACGCTGAGGCCGCTGCGGTGAAGGGAGAAGCCAGGTAGATCTGCCCTTCCTTGTGGCCCATCCTGCCCGGAAAGTTCCTGTTCGTCGTTGATACACAGACCTGCATCCAAATACATGACTTTGAGATCACCAAAAAACAACCTGTCAACAAAGCCGAATGGCAGCACGCTTGACATTTCTCTTAACACACCAAGGTCTCTACCTTAATACTCCCTCCGTCCGGAAATACTTGTCGAAGAAATGGATAAAAGTGGATGTATCTAGAACTAAAATACATCTAGATACATCCATTTCTAAGACAAGTATTTCCGGACGGAGGGAGTACATGAAACGGGTATTCTACAGCATTTGCAGTTGTAGGTTTCATGAACATCTAGCATGTGATATCTCATATCTCATGCAAGTAAATGTGTCCCCAATCAGAAGGATGTGGTAGAAAGGCCTGCTAAGTAAGGGATCAGAACTAGTGAGGGAGCATTTTGTTTAGTATTTTTTGTTCACTATGCCTGAGAACAGCAGCCTAGAGCAAACCGTAACTGAAACCCTAGGTGAGATGGCAGCCAGTAAGCCAACAATGTGAGAATATGGCAGTTCAGGGATGTTGTTTTTTATGACAGCAGACATTTACCAGTATTTGAGGTCAAATGTCTTCTCTAGAGAATTAATAGACCTTAACACTTCAGAAAAACACAGAAGCCCCCCTTCCACATTTGTATCAAGCGGCATGTCTACTGTATAGAAATATATTTGGAAATATTAGAAGATACTTGCCGTAGGTTCATTCATCCGTGCATATGTATCACGAGGACCACCCAAACAAGCACCACAATTGGGACTAGCTGGTGTATCACAACCAGCCTCTTCAAATATCTGGGAGCATGTTTTGCCACCAGATCCTGGTACGGGCAGGCTATACACATCCATCCACACCTGCAAGATTTCACATTCTTTTTAGTAACACAAACTGGAAGATCATTGTATCCGTATATTTGATCACAAATTGTCACCTTTTGCGTCGCAGGGACGAGAAAAGTGGGAACCTTAACCTTCTGGCCCTGTATTATAGGAAAAAAAATGTAGATCATGGATCAGTGTGATTTAGTTAAGGCCACATGCATATTTAGGATTGAGCACAAAGAACTACAGGAACATGATGTCTCGAGATGCTTTTGCATATAGTGATAAATAAATTAGTAATGATAATACTTTGTCATTCAGCCGTATCAGAATCTGTCAAGTTGGAATTATTTTGGTGAGGCAGAAGCTTAAATTCTAGTAGTGATCCAAACATTGAACATTACCTTTCTCTATAAATGATCCTTGGTCACAACTCAATCATACTAAACTTCAACCAAAGTGCAACTTAATTTGACCCATGTATACATAATGAACATGTCAACCCATATGGCCTTCAAAGATTTCCATAACCTAAACAAACCTTTATGACACCACTAATCCCCATTGTGCACTGGTTTTGGCTCATGCTCTAAGAACAAAAACAATCTGCGTACCCCTTAGCCAAACCAACCACCAATTGGTCCTAAAACTAGATCCAATCCAATTCAAAGTGCATACTGAACCTGTCCTGATAATAATACAATTCATTGCACTGCAGGAGAAGCTTACATAGCCCACTACAGGCCTAACTACAGAAAGCCTACAACGCATCCTATTTCAATGACTGCTCTGTTGAGTTCACAGTATGCAGAGGCAACAGGCAAGACAACATAAGAAACTTGTAAAAACAATAGAAGTACAAAACCATTGGAACAATCATACTCTGCAAGTCTCAAATTACATAGCCCATACCTAAGTGTATGCCAAAATGCATAAAAGAGAACATAATCCTGACTATATATCACCACGCTACAAGATAGGTTTGAAGTTTCTTACCGAAGCTAAGAACACCTTTGCAGCAGCAATGAAGTCCTCAGTCTTGCCACCAGTGCAAGAACCAATATAGACTCGGTCAATCTTGACATCTTTGCATTCTCTTGCTAGAGCACGGTTGTCAGGGGAATGTGGCTGCACATTCATGGAGATTACATCATTATATAAAAGAACAAACAAAAAACAATAGAAATTGCAAAAGAGCAGAAAAAGTTAACAAACCTTGGCAACTACTGGCTCCAGTTTAGATACATCAAACCGGTAGTCGCTGTAAAATCTGAAAACAAAAGGCCAATCAAATAAAACAACAGAAATCTAAAGCTTGTGCATATGCCATATCACTATTCATAACATGACACAAGACCATAGGAATGACAAATGCACGAGAACACAACCACTGAACAGCAGCATTCAAATTTTCGCACACAAGACATCAGAAAATATGAGCACTATTTGGTGAATGTCGGCTTGTATATCTATGTACCACACATGAAGGATAGTGTATAATTGCATAAGGACATCCTAAATATCCCAAAGGATGTCACCTACTGAAAAGCACTAAAGGTAACGAATTATGTCTAAGCTTAGCGGGCCCTACATTATTTTGATCGGCTAAAAAAACAAATAGTGGAGAACCAGTTATTTCAAATTTCTTTAAGTGCCCTTTGCAAAGTATTATAAGACCCCTATTTTCTGTATAATTAATCAATATGCAAACTTATTTTTTGTACTTTTTATATGGTCGGAATCAAGGACATTGTTTAGTTGACTGCGTTCATCTTGACTTTGTTACTATCATATGTTCTTCACTGCGCCAAACATAAAATTTGTTCTCCAACTCCCTACAGGTGTAAGTTCTTGGGTTAACAAAAGATCAGCAGTCAACACCAAACCTGTGTCCATAAAATGCAAAAGAGACAAACCTTTTTATTGATAGGTTCGAAGTCAACTAAGAAGTAGTGATGGTTTGTATGACAAATATATTTTTAATAAAATTGTCTAGATTGAAGTGCATATCTCAAGAATGAGAAGAGCAAGGACAGACTAATCACCTGGCCTGAGCATCACTATAGACAGGTTCATATTCAACAGATGTCTTTCCCTGCAGTGCAGAGGATGGCATATGATATCACGATTACCATGTTATAAAAAGCATACTGCCTCAGTCCTACTATTAACATTCAGATGGTAGTTCAATACCTCAAGGTACTTAAATGTAGTTTCATCAGCAGGCACAACACCATTCTTTCCACCAGCTTCGATAACCATGTTGCACAGTGTCATTCGTTCTTCCATCTAGCAAGTGTGTGAAAACACTAAGCTCAAGTTTACATTAAATGACAACTGATTAACCCAGTTATGAACATGGAACATACAGTTAGACTTTCTATTGTTGATCCAACAAACTCCATCGATCTGTATGTTGCACCAGATACAGATATCTCGCCAATAATCTGTAAACAGATATGACCAAGGATGAGACATTTCGGTTACAATGAGAAACTCCTAACGAAATAAATAAATTTTAGCATAACCGAGACTATTTTGTTGACTTACTTGTAAAATCAGATCCTTAGCGAGTAAATAAGGTGGCATTTCTCCATCTAATATGAACCTGATGGTTGGGGGCACCTGAAAATAAGATTAAACAGATCAAAACACCATTTTTCTCATAGGGAACACACTGTATGCATGAAAGAAAGAGAGAAAAGTTTCTCCACGATATGAAAAGACGTAGTATGTTCAAAAACCCATATTTTATCACACTAAAAATAGACAGAGTGTGAGAAGCATACAGGATGCAAAAATGGAAAAGAGATCGATAACTGCTGTTTGAACGGTGCTATTTGGATCCTGCACCTAATATCTCTGCATTGGATGGAGTATTTTTGGATGGTCCAACATATAATATATAAACAAAAAGCAACTTATAGTTACTTCTATCAAATGCACATCTTAAGTTTCCATATTTGCGCGATAAACATACGGAGTATAATACAGTATGATATAATAATGTACAGAATGTGACAAACAAATGAAGAAACCCTGACACATAACTGAGATACAGAACCAAAGATTGCTCAGACTGAGAAAGATATGTCCCATCTGTTTTCATGGTAAGACTATTTTTCAAATTCTATCCGGAAGTAATTTAACATGCTTGCATACCTTGAGAAGAGCCTTTCCCGTTCCCATCACAAAACCTGCATCAGTGTTCCCGATTCCAGTTGCAAACTGACCAAAGGCTCCAGCATTGCAGGTATGAGAATCAGTACCAAGGAGAACCTACACATGAACATGAACCAGGTTAAGCATGTACAGCAAAATCACAAGCTTCCAGTACTTGGTGTAGTCAGTAAAAATACCTCGCCTGGTCGGCAGTGACCTTCTTGGGCGAGCGCAATGTGGCAAACACCTTTGTAGTCCGGATTTGCCTATAACCCAATAGTTTAAAGCCTTTTTAAGCACATAAATCATCTTGCTTTTACTTGCATGAACCTCAATCAGGAAGCTGTAAATGGAACGAATCAGCAAGACATATACTCTGAAGTCGCTGAGGTCCTTGATGTCGTAAAAGTACTTAATCTTCTGCTCCTCGCAGAAGTCCCTGAGGATGTCGACATTCCGGTTGGCCCGCTCGTCGCTGGTGAAGATGTAGTGGTCGGGGATGATGACGACCTTCTCGCGGTCCCACACCTTGGCGTCCTCCCCGAACTCCTGCTTGAAGATCCCGATGGTGCCGGGCCCGCAGACGTCGTGCGTCATGAGCACGTCCACGTCCACCCACACGTTCTCCCCGGGCTCGAGGCTCGCGCGCTCCGACGCCCGCGCCAGGATCTTCTCCGTCGTCGTCATAGGGCTCTTCACCGAGCCGGTGGACGCGGGGGAGCGCGGCGCGCGGGTCGGCGTCGCAACCGCGCGAACGCGCCCGGCCCGCGCGCGCCGGCTCCTCGCGAGCTGCTGCGGCGGCACCGCCGCGGCGAGCTCCTTCTGCGGCGGGGAGAGCAAGGGGGCGGAGGGGTCAGCTGGGTGAGAAGCTGGAGGGGGGCGAGG